GGAATTCTATCAATTCCACAAAATTATGACAAAAAGCTTTTACAAAAGTTGGCAGGAATAAAATATGTGGCAACATAAAATTAGTGAAGATTAGTGAGCTATAACTGAACCTTTTTTACTTTCTAATAAAATAGCAGTGTTTTTTTCCAGTATTAGATGCAGTTAAAATACGCAGAGATAGTACAAATAGAGCTTGGAAAAGCTGAAGGCCAAACTTTGAGGCTTACTATTTATTTTCTCTTCTTTTAAAAACAATCAAAAATGCGGATGGCTCACTACCTTCCGGGATTTCTCAATCGCAGGCCTGTCAGTAGCATTTGTAGATATTAATGTTTCTAGCAAAACCTTTGTTTTGCCCAGGGAATTGCATCTGCAATAATTTTACCTCAGTCATCAAGTACAATCAACAAACTATGATACACACGAGCTGTTAGGTGGCTGCTTGTCTGTGTTTGCACAGAACTCTGAGGTAACTCACACGTGCACACAATCCAAAATTCAAATCACAACAGTGTATTATCAGCCAGACTTTCCAATTTGAAAATAGCTCATATTTCCAAAGTTCCCTGTGTATGCAGAAATTTTCAGCATGAAAAAAGTACTTGAAATATCACTCTAATAACATATTATTTCCAAACTGGTAAAATATCCACACTTATCACCTCCAACAGCATAAAGAATTTCCCCACTACCATTCAAAAATGCTCTGCCAATGACATTTAAAAAAGTAAAAGCATCTCCAGTACTTTACTATAAATCGCAGTCTGCAAATGCAGCTACAGAAAACAGATCTACAAGGAAACATAAGCAGTAACATTTTTAGCGTCCTTCCCTCAACATCCATTCTAACAAAACAAAATTAAGGCAATACTGTACAGTGTACAGTGTGTACCCACAAACAGGCCAAATTTTAGTGGTAACATTCAGAGAGAGTAAAGAACATTCCAGTTTTCTAAGATATAATTAACACACGGCATTAGTGAAAACATAATAGACAAGGTCATCTTCATTTGCATCAGATAGGAAAAGCGACATTAACATTTATATTTATAGATGTTGAAATTTATCTGGAAACAGATAAAGTCCACTGTAATCTCCTGGCATAAAGTATGAGCAAGATCAATGTCATTTTAAAGATAAACACACACTTTTCATCCCAATTAAATAATGCTATAAATCCTTCTGCACTGCATTGCAAATAACTTCAGCTGAATAAAACTGCAGGATAGGGGATTTACTTATCCTGTATGTTCACAGAAACAACTTGTTCTCTGACAGCACTCATTCTTGGCAATTTATTGCAGCTGTCAGCAGCTAATTTGTTCAGATTACTGCTATGCATAAAGGTATAACAATCATGAGGATTTATTAGCCGATTACTGTAAAGGTAAGAGTCTGGATCGCCTTCAGAAACTCAGATGATAAGAAAGTTAAATAGTTACATGAAGATTAAAATCATTTCACCTTCACAGTGGTCTCAATACTAGCCACCTAAACTTACTATAGTACATGCTTTTCATCAGAGTAATCTATTGATTCAGTATGGAAAAAGAAATGATTTACTTGTAAATAGAAAGTACGTGGATATTTAATTTAGCCAAACTGCACAACCTACATATGTACCTATGCTTGCATGAGTAAATCCATCATAATTATTATTCCCAATTCCCATGTAAGGACTAATGTTGCAAGTTCACATATTCATTTGAACTTACGAAGGCTGCTGCTATGACTTCAAGCATCCCTGCTTTCTAGAGAAAGAACTAAATTACCTTGGACCTCCACATATCTTTGCTCCTTGAAAGCTTTTGGATTCTCCTCTCCCACTGCATTTTTTTTTAAGTTAGCTTCGGAAGAATATTAGAATTTAATCTCCCACTCCAATCTGCACAGAACATGCTTCTGGTCAAGCCCCAAGTTTCCTCAGATGAATATATACACCATTTGGAACACATTTTTTTCAGAACTTTTGTATGAGCTCTTTTTTTCAGGAGAGACCTTCTGGCTTTTGAAACTCCCAAAATAGACACGGAAATGGTTCTAGGCTTGCACGTCTTTAGGGTGTTCTGAGAAGGAAATTCACAATAGATTCAAACTCAAATGAGTCTTACAGATATGTAATGCTCAAAGTTAAAAATGGAGATAGAGCAGTCAGCATCTCACCCCAGGAACAGCCAAATTCTGTGAGTTTTCCCCTCGCTCTAAATAGCTGCTACTGCTGGAATAGTATTCAACAAGGGACGAAAGGGGTTATTCTCCATCACTGAGCTGTGCTAGAATACCATCTGGACGTCTTTTGTTTCCTGCCTACATACTTATTACCACCCTTCGTGGAACCTGCATCAAGATTTACCATCCCTTATATATGCCTTATATTGCCCCACTGAACTTTGGTCGTAGGCAAGAATCCAATTGTATTTTATATATATATAAATATATATATATACACACACACACACACATTTAGCATATCTCCCACATACATTGCAAACGCAAAGTGTCTGCAACCTGACTAGCTGAACATTGGCTGTATTGGTGCTGTGCGATATGCAGTAATTTAATTATATTTTAGAATGTGTTGAAATTCCTTGCAGATGTTAAAAAAAAAAAAAAAAAAACAAATACTCTGGGGACTTGAAGGACCTACAAGCTATAGCTTGGGCATCAAGTCATCAGATTTGCTGTGGATACATACAGTTTGTGTACACATACTTCTCCCTGGGAAAAGCTTGACCAAGAAGAATCTGAACGAATTCAATGTAGCTACTTGAATCAATGTAAAGGCTGCAGCTTTAAAAAGTTACCTGCAAAATAGTCACAGCTTTTAGACTCAACCTCAAAACGAAAACAAACAAACAAACAAAAAAACAGAGAAGGGCACATTAGAACTGTCAAGTGTCAGGGCTTTTTATCCACAGTGACTGGAGAAGATTCTTAGGGAGGGGGAATATTAAGACCTCTTTTTGTATTCATATTGAGCTTGACAAATGACAAAGTTTTTCAGGGAGATGAAATTGTTTGCAGGTTACATTATCCAGAGGTGACATCTTATCTCTGGATAATGTAAGGTGAAATAAGAGACTGTCTAAAAAGATATGCTGAAAGAGTGGTTTTGTATATGAAGGCACAGACCTATAGAAGAAAGGTTCCAAAAATGAGAAAGAGCAAGTTGCAAGAAAAGTTCTGCTGATTTTGTGAAAACCAGCCAAACAGTACAAAAGCACTGTGAGGGTGAGTTGTGCCCAAGGAGTGTGGGTTTCTTTTTTCTTTTTTGGTATTCATCCTATACAAGAACTACATCTGTGTTCAAAAGCCAGAAAATAAAACAAAATTCTCCCACTGAAAAATCCTAAAGGCTACAAACATTCTTCTTGAAGAATATAGTTTTTATGTTAACACATTTCATGTGCCTAAATAAAACACAAAAATCACTCATTATTTCTGTAATAGCTTGCAGTTGCCAAAAAGAAATATAATCAAATGTAAAACACAATACTTTATTTATTTATTAGAAAAAACTACCTAAGCAGCTCATATGTATAAGGCTACAAAATTTCTCGTTTTCCAGTTTTTCTCTTTTCTTGCAGCAAAGACTTTTTTTTAAATGAAAACCTCTTTAAAATGCTTCAATGTTATTTATTGATAATAGCAATAACATAAGTGCTTTTTTTATGAGTGTGTTTTGAAAAGTCATATTTGAAAATTTGGAATCTCAGTCTTTTGGCAAAGAAGGTTAAAGATAAGCAGAAAATAGTTTTCCTACCAAAGTTGCACCACATGTTGACATAGTACTGAACCACTACGCTCTTCAGAAAAATAGTTATTGCTACTGTATGTGCTCAGTGCAGTCAATAAAGTGACAAAGAAAGATGTAAACTTCAAATACAAACTTAGCACGCCCTCCAAAGTGTTTAACTGTATAAAACAAAATCCTAACAAGTATATTTTTTTACAAGTGGGTTTCTCTGGCACCAAGGCCATTTGTTTGCCAACAAATTTCCATCTTTCCTGATTTTCCAGGACTTATGGCAGGAAATAGACACATAGTATTTATATGACTCATCTAATTTGATAAAACAAAGCCATTACTCTAAACAGAAGCAGAGAGAGGAAAAGATTAGCAGAAACATAACCACACTTGCATCAGAAATCCATGGCTCAGTTTGTGGGATTTTCACTCCTGCTTTTCCTAAAATAAATAAGTAATTTACTAACACTATCCTACTGAAAGCACATATGACTTTTAATATTCTAACAATTAAAAGATAAAGGGTCAACTGTTATTATTGTGAATGGATGGATATTAAAGAATTAAACTATATGTAATAGAACCATACATCTAAGCTCTAAAAATAACAGTGACCTTGGACAGCAGCTATAAACAAAGTCTAAGATTTGGAGGATTTCTCCTCCATTACCTAATAGCTAATTAAAAAGAAAAAGAAATAGCATCTATTACCGTTAATGCAATAGAGCAGAGCAGAATCATACACATTTATACCATTTCCTGAATGCTGAGCAAGACTCCACAGATTCACTTTCCTGAGAATAAACTGGTGATTTCTTTGCCTGAAAAGCCATGCAGAAGTTTCTCATTTCCTTTAACAAGTAGATTAAAGAGTAAGAACACCCTTTTGGTCTTTTTTTAGCATATTACAATACATGATATTTATTCCTCCACAACCTCCAAAAACATTGTTATATGCAATCTGTTGCATCTAAATTATGCTGTTAAATGTGGGATTTTCATTTTGCAAAACTTAAACCCATCAATTGGTAAAATCTGCCACCTACCGGATAAGCAAAAAATATATATACTTTATACCGTTAAAGAATAACATCAAATCATACTGATATTTTGTAAGCCCTTCCTCCCCCCCATTTTCTTTTGAACAACAAGAACAAATGGTTGCAAAAAAAAAAATTACTTTCAATAGCAAGGCTCATTTTAATCATCTGCTCTCATCTCCAGAGAACTAGAAATCTGTAATTGCACAAACCTGCCAATAAAATCATCCCTTTTGCCAGCATCTTTGTCCCACACAGTAATATCAATAATTCCACCTCGTTCTTCATACAGATGAAAGTCAAACTGCTCCCTCCACTGAGGATTCAAAGTTTTTGGCATAATCTGAAAGGAGAGCAAAAAGAAAGTCACACTGTGTTGCGCAGGCAGGTGCTTTTTTCAGCTGTAAAATTGATCTGTAGATTCTGCTCAGAAAGTGTTTTTTTGCAGTTTATCTTAAACTGTAAGAGTTAAAATAAATAATAATTAAAAAGGACTATTGGTCAGTCCTTTCACGCCCAATTCAGCAGCAACCTCCAAAATCCTCCACCTTGTCACCTTCAAAAGCCTCCAGAAGAAAGGGTTTATCCTCGGAACCGATACATTTTTCTATAGAATAATTATGCCCTATCCACGTGACAGTCAGCTACAAAGATAGCTTTCTTGGGCAAAAGGAAAACAAAGCACCTGACAGCTAGAGAGTGACAGAAAGCATTTAAACTGAAACAATTTTAATCTGCTCTTTCCCCAGTTATTGTAACATTGGAAAAAAAAGAAACTCAGCTTGACTGTGCTTGACTTTTTACAGCAGAGCTTTTTTTTTTTTTTTTTCTAACTGTATTTTGATTCCTTTTCTCTATAATTTATCTAAAAGTCGACTGGGGGATCCTTTTCATGCTGCTTATTTGTGGCAGCAGATATAAGGGGCAGTTGGCAGCGGAAGGGGTGGCTTGCACTGCTTCCCACTAAGCACAGCAACAAGAGTCATCCTGTCCTCAGCAAAGACAGAGCCTGCCCCATGGCCTCTCCTAGGAAGAGATCATGACTTTCCAAATCCCCCTCCTTCCATGTGCCTCAAAAGTGGGGAAAATCAGAGAGGATCAAGAACCGAAAGAGCTACAAAAATAAATCCTGAAAGATTTGATTTGTACACGGAAATGCACACAGGCTTTCAAAAAACTATATATTTTTTTTCAAGATGAGTAACATCAATCATATAACATACGGGTGACAACACTGATGAAGTTCGTCATGTAAAAACAAACAAACATAAAACACCCACAAGTGGGAATGGCAGGCAATACCTACAGCACATTGAGACTGAAAAAAACAGTCAATTGTGCATTCCATTATTTTGGTTTGGTTTATAGTTAAAAGGAAAAAAAAGAAAAAAAAAAAAGAACTTTTGCCTTTTCCTGTGCAGTAAATCTCTGAGTTAACCTTTAGATTAGCTAGGCAAAAGCACACAGTTGCAAATAACAGTTCTTTCAGTATCACTTTTTTGGGAAGCCTCTCTGCTGTATTTCCACCTAGAACGTGCATGTGATGGCTTCTGAGCTGTCTCAGAAGTGCATTTCTTCAGTCTCTCTACAGCACTATTTGCCTCAAAACATCTTGTGGAAAAGCACCCGTGTAAACACTTAAAAAGAATATTTTCTTCTGACTTGTATGATCCAAACAGTCAGAGAGAAAAAGTCACCAATTTCCTAGATGCTTTTGAAAAAGAATAAAAACATAAATAGAACTAAAGAGAAAATTTTGAATTGATGTTTTTGATGGTCAATTCAAACCCAGATTTTTCCAAGGCTGGAAAAATAAGCTCTTCCCAACCTCCCTGCAGTCCTGTTTTTTCTTTTCTGTTACTTTTGGTTTATACGGAAACAAAAAATATGTAAGCTCATCTTTGGCACCTGATTAATCCAAAGAAAATAAGCCTCCAAAGCATTTAAATGAGTACGCAGCAGAAACCAAGAACAGAAGCAAAATAGTTTCAGGCCACAAGTAACATTACCTTGCTCTTGTACTTCTGATGCCCCAAGCGAAACTTCACATAGGGATCACTCAGTCCGTTCACATCCATTGCTTTAAGTCGACGACCTTCTATCAGAGTAACACTGACTATACCCCGCCAGAGTTGAGATTTTCTGTGCACATCTGAGAGGCGCAAGCTCTGGGTCTGAAACTTCAGGGAATAAAAATGAAGATTCAGTTAAACAAGCCCAAACGTTTCATTCGCATTTTAGTGTTTGAGTTTTTATAGAAGTGAAAGAATTGTTTTAACCCATTTTGAAGTAATTTGACAGCACATATGTGAACTACATCATAAAAAATTATTTGGAGAGAAATCAAACTGACAAATATGCAGGTAACACCAGGCGCTGCTTTTGCAAAGACTAATGTTACTTGAGGAAATCCTTGCTCTCTATATATGCAATTTTTTTTCCTACTTCACTTTCCCAACTTTGCTTATAGAAGCAATAACATTATACAAAAATTATGAGGTCTCTTTTATTAGTTAGGTATGAGTGAAAGAGTTTATAATACAAATAAACACCCAAACCATTTTTCTTTAGTAATGCAAACACAGCACAAGAAGTATGCACCCAGGAAAAAAGGTGACAAACATTCACAACTCCTGCGCCACATGACAAGAACTATCAGCAGCCCCTAAAATATTTGGCATTCTCAGAAATTGCAAAGAAAATGGAATTAAACATCAAGATTTCTAATAGCCCCATCACTGGTTCTCAACGCAAATTTATTTTGTGTCTTTCAAACGGTAAATCTGTTTGGGTTGCAGCCATGCATATATCTCAGATAGGATTTTTACTTTATTATCCAGTGAAGGCAATGACACATACAGTGCAGCATAATCACGGGATTATAATTTGCCCTCACCGGACGCCAGGAGAGTGTTACACATGAGGACTACGTTCACTGGAGTTGCAGGAAATCTGAGCAACATGCTTGTCAGCAGCACTTAAAAATCATCACATACTTATTCTTCCTAACCATACATAGTGGTTAGGAAGAACCAAATATTTCAGTCTATTAAGATTTATCTCCCTGAAGTGAAGGGTTTGACTGTGGAGAAACTTTTCAAAGTTCTTTTCTCCTATGGTAACAAAACCACCATTTGCTGTGAAGAGGACTAACCTTTACTCTTAGCCAGTTTAATCTGACTCTACCTTTCCACTTTAAAAAGTGCTCATACTCTTAAGTTCCCTTTTTTTTTTAAAACCTGCTACTGAACCTGATCCTAGCCTCTTAAATATCTGCTAGAAGACTATAAATAGGGAAGAAAAATGTCTTTAGCTTAAGTTCAAAGGTCATTTTCCCAATGTTGTGGCATTTTTAATGACATCCGGGCCCAGAAGAGCCATACACCCTGGTGTCCCTCAGCTTGCTGTGACTTGGGGACAGTACTCCAGGTCAGCGTGTAACCTGGTCCTGCACCTGCCCCAGACGGCAGGGATGTCACTGAGATCACAATGCACAGAGAAGCCAAAATTTTTGGCTGCGTCAGTAGATGCTGGTTTGCATAAGGGGTCCAAACTGCTTGCGAATAAGATGCTTCCTACCTCAGTACAAACTTTAGCTATCCTATTAAAACAGCAACAGAAAACCAGTGGAGAGCAAGAATTCTAGTTCTCTTCCTGTGACTATATTAGAACAACATCTGATATACAGCATAAAGCCAGCAGCCAGTGTGACAGCAGAAACAGAAACCCCGGGAAAATTCCCCAGAAATGGGAAACTCAGGTATGAGAAGAGGAATTAACAATACTGTAACATGATTATACACTTTTTTTCTCATCACAAACACCCCCTGGTAGGAATATTACAGTCAACCCTCCCAAAGACTTGTCCCGTGAATAAGTGAATAATATTCCGCCTCCCTTCCAATCCCCCTGTTCCATCTTCTCGGATGGTTTAGACTAAAAGAAAAACTGAAGTGTAATTAACCAAATCTGCCTCTGCCCTGGACATAAGGTGATGGGAAACTTGGGTTGATGAATCAAAACGAGCATCAAGATATGTCTAGAGAAGGAGTTTTTAGTGGGATAGAAGCAGTGTTATAGTTGAGACTTTTTGTTTTGCAAAGAATTAACAGTTTTTCTTTGGAGTTGAGTGGAAAACCCAACGATTTTATAGTCTCCTTCATATTACCATGAAAAGAAGCATTTACTGCTGTTGAAGTCTTTTAAAGGAAAACTTTCTCTAAGCATTACTGTATAGATTCCCAAATCACAAATGAGGAGGTAAAACAGTTAGAGAGTATACCTGATTTAACATCCATATTTTCAACAGCTCTTAAAACAATTTGCTGCATTACAGCAGCTGTCAGCACATAAAAATACTGATTTTATACCAGC